ATATATTTATTTATTTATTTATTTATTTATTTATTTATTTATTTATATAAAAGGCAGGGCAAAATATGGAAACCCTGAAATATTTTGAGAACGGTGCATTTTAGCAAAAAAAATTATTCAGAAAAAAGATTTCGGATTTTCAGGGCGGAACTCAATAGTGAACTTTGGCTTTGAGGTCGAATTTTAAAATCATTTGAAGGTCAACTTGTTTATTTTTTAATTGAAATCTGTAGATTTTATTGCATATTATAATAGTCTTTATTAAGACCTTACTAAAACACCGTAAAAAAATATTTTACATTAAGTACATTTCGAGTTATAAAACTTAAATTTGTAATACCGCCGGCATAAACATTACACAAGGTAGGTATAAAGACTCCACAGTTCGTCATTTCCGTAGTAATTTCTGACCCCAAAACCTCTCTGTTGTGTGTGTGTGTGTGTGTGTGTGTGTGTGTGTGTGTGTGTGTGTGTGTGTGTGTGTGTGAACAGAGATACACCGTGGGGTTCTTATCTCTGCTGATATACACACACATAGCAGAGAGGGTTTAGAGTAAAAAAATATTACGGGAATGACGAATCGTAGGGTCCTTATCGCTACTGACACACAAACACACATTTACACGCGCGCACGCACGCGCACATATACACACATACATCACAGATGGTTTAGAATCAGAAAATACTATCGGATTGACGAATCATGGGATCCTTATATTTACCTTGGGTAACGCTAATGCCGGCGGAATTACAACTTTGGTAAAGTCTCAAAAAATGCTATAATAATGTGCGATATATTTAGAGGACATTTACACACACACACATGATGATATATATCTATATATATATTCAGCGTAACAGTCCGCATAACTTTGTAGGCACTTCCGGTTGTGTAAATAAAAGTTTGGAGGGTGAACATTAATCTATTTCAGACATGCTACAACACGTAATAAAAAAAATTTGGAAAGATTATTTTTTCATAAGAAAGTCAAGGACACCTTAAATTTTTTAAATGGCACCATGCTATTTTTTTCCATAATATTGTAGAGGATTTTAAGAAGAATTCATCGCACGCATATAAGAAATATCGCTTTTATTTAGATTTAACATAACATTTGCAGCATTATTTGAAATAACAGTACTTATTAGCTTTGACTATCTGAAATCTCAATATAAACACTGAAAGTTATGTGGGGACAACTTTCGCATTATAAATGCACTTTATAACATCCATCATTATTAGTATCAATATTCTCCTAGCCTTCTTCTTAAGTGGATAGTAATCGTTGTTATTAATTAATGTCTGGTGTGGCATATTAGATCGTTATTTAATTGGACCGTATTTTTATGAAGGAAATTTAACATCACATCGATATTTAAATTTTCTCAATACAAAATTGCCAAAATTAATACGAAATATCCTCATGATAGTAGCATGTATTTCCAACAGGACGGTAGCTCACTCACCCTGCACAGATAGTTCAAACTTATCTTCGGGATACTTAGGAAAATAGTGTTATAAATATATATGAACCAGTCCGATGGCCAGCACATTCTCCGGATTTATCTCCATTGGATTTCTTTTTATGGGGATTTCTGCAATCCGTTGTATATGAAACACTTATTTAATAATTCGAGACCTTCGAAAAAAGATAATTACAATTTGTACAGCTTTAGATCCAAATAGTTTAATAGCTGCTATGACTAGTAATTTGTTAAAAAGAGCAGAAATTTGTGTTGCAGAAGGAGACAAGCAATTTGCACGTTTGCTTATACAAGTTACTGATAATCACTTATAATGAAGGATGTTATCCTCTTGAAGTCCTCTACAATATTATGAAAAAGAATAGCATGGTGCCATTTAAAAAATTCAAAGTGTCCTTGAATTTTTATGAAAAAAATGTTATTTCCAAATTTTTTATTGCATGTTGAGGCATACATGAAATAAATAAATGTGTGTGTGTGTGTGTGTGTGTTTATTGATTTATTTATATTTATATATATTACATGATATATATTATATTGTTTTTTATTATATTATAGTTCATTATCATCTACGGTTTAATGGGTTACGAACCTTTAACATACGAAGACTACATTTATCCTATTTGGGCAAACGTATTGGGTTGGTTGGTCGCATGTTCTTCTATCATTATGATCCCAGGTATGGCGATTTACAAAATCATGAGCACGCCCGGATCTATTGTTCAAGTAAGTGTTCATTTAAACAATTTGTTACATAATTTAATATACAATTTGATAATATAAGAATATTTATTTAGTTTAAGAATTAACGAGTATGTAAGAAATTATACACATTTATACACACGGGTATGTATTATATATAAAGTTTGCTAAAACTACTTAATATTTTGAAACTTATACATTTTCCAAAAATATGTTTCATACGAAAGTTACGAGATTTTAAATTATTCATTACATATAGCAATATTAATATAATCTTTAATAGCGTTGTCAAGATTATGTTAAGACCATTTCGAAATTTTTCAGTGCGAGCTCATTTTTTATTACCTCTTCATATAGTCTATCTAAAGAATTTTTCAAAACATTATAATAAAATATTTCTTGCAAATATTTTTCTAAATATTCTTGAAGTTATTTTGTTTGATAGTTACAATACCATCGGCATTTGCATAATCCAATCTGTTATCCAACTGCGTAGAGGTGACATGGTCACATTTAAATCTTTTTCGATAATTCTCTGCTGACACACACACACGCGCGCGCGCCCACACACGCACACACACACACACACATATCGGGTGTTTCAGATCATCTGTATACCCCATTTAAAAATAAGAGAAGTTGTTATTTTGAAGAATGTGTCAAACAAAAGTGTAGGGTATACAAGGGCGGTTCAATAAGTACCCGTGTTAGAAATGAAGACACCATTTTTTCAAAAAATTTTTTTTTATTTTTCAACATAGTCCCCTTTTAGAAAGATACACTTCTCCCAACGTTCCTGCCATTTTTTTAACCCCTCCAAAAAATAGGATTTGTCAAACTCTCCAAAATACGCCTCTGTCTCGGCGATGACTTCCTCGTTTGAGCTAAATTTTTTTCCCGCGAGCCATTTCTTCATGTTAGGGAACAAGAAAAAGTCGCAAGGAGCCAGATCGGGTGAATACGGGGGGTGCGGCAGCAATTCATAACGCAATTCATGCAGTTTGGCGGCGACAACTCCGGATGAATGTGCTTTCCACCGCGGCACCCATCGAGCCGACAATTTTTTCATCGCCAACTTATCATGTAAAATATTAATTGCCGTTCCGGTCGACACACCTACGGCCTTTGCTACTTCGCGCATTTTTGTTCGTCGATCAGCGAGAATCATGTCGTGGACTTTTTGAATGAATTCCTCGGTAACCACGTCTGCCGGGCGTCCTGGTCGCTCCTCATCAAAAACGGATGTTCGCCCACGTTTAAATTCGTTGAACCAATATCTAACTGTGGTCATAGATGGCGAAGTGTCCCCATAAACAGCATCCAACTTTGCTTTTATCTCTTCGCATTTTTTCACATTCAAAATTAAAAAGCGAATTACCGAACGATACTGCCCTATTTCCATCTTAGCGAAAATCACGAAACACGTCTTACTCGAATGGCTGCCAAATCCAAACTAACCTATCAATCAGTCTGNTTGGGTAGCGTCGCCAAGGTTAAAACAAGATCAACTTGAATATTTTTAATGGAACCTCCTTGATTTTATAGAATATTATTATAGCCTTTGTTATCTAACCTACCAATCAGTCTGCAATTTGTTTTGCTGTCGTTTGATAGATGATAGCACACGATGATAACACCAACTTCCCTCAGGAACGCCCTCTGTCGTCTAACACGGGTACTTATTGAACCGCCCTCGTAAATGATCCATTTACTGATATTATCAGTTTGACTTTGGGTGGCTTTGCCAACGTCAGAACAAAGTCATATTGAATTTTTTTAACGGTACCCACTAGATTTTATTACATATTATAATAGCTTTTTTGAGACCTTGCCAAAATATTGAAATAAAATACTTTTACATTAAGTACTTCTCAAGTTATAAAGCTTGAAAATTGCAATACTGCCCGCATTAGCACTACCCAAGGTAGATACAAAGCCCCCACGGCTCGTCAATTCTCTATTTTCTTACCCGAAAACCTCTCTGTTGTGTATGAGTGTATACATGCGCATGTGTGAATATGTGTATTCACCCCGCGAGGTCCTCATCTCTGCTGATATACGCACGCACGTACGCACACACACACACATATATTCACAGCAAAGAAGATTTGTAATCAGAAAATATTACGGGAGTGATAAACCGTTGGGTACTTATATGTTTCTTGAATACTGATAATGCCGGCGGTATAACTCGAAAAGTACTAAATGCAAAAAATATTTTATTGTAGTGAAGTGGTGTTAGGAAGATCTCAACAAAGGCTATAATAATATTCTATAAAATCAAGGAGGTTCCATTAAAAATATTCAAGTTGATCTTGTTTTAACCTTGGCGACGCTACCCAAATTCAAACTGATAATATCAGTAAATTAATCTTTTCATACCCTACAATTTTTGTCTGAAAAATTTTTCAAAATAACCACTTTCTTCGTTTTTAAATGTGGTGTTCGCGTGGTCTGAAACACACGGTAGATACACATATACACAAAAGATCTGTAAATCCGACCATGCAAACTCCACGTGGCACATTTTGAACAATGTTAATGCTAACGATACCGTAAATCTCTAATTCCATAATTCGGAAAATACCTAAATGGAAAGATATTCTATTATAATATCCTATTATAGCGTTTTGAAAAATTCTCGATATAAGCTATATATGAATATGCAATAAAAATAGATGTCCCCATTTTAAAAATATTAAATTTATCTTTAATGATATTAATAAAGCTATTCCAGGTTATACTAATATTGTTTTATATAACGCATCACTTAAAATTCTACAACTTTTGTATGAAGCATATTTCAAAAATGCATAGTTTTCAAAATATTAAGTAATTTTTACACTTTTGGTAAACCCTGTATAACATAACGCATGGGTATATACAAAAGTCAAACAAAGATCATTGAGAAAACAATTAAATTTTGGATGTATATGGCTATAAAGAGAAAGAACACCTCTAGGAAGTTATAGTTGTATTTATAGCAAGTCGTATAGTTTTAGGACGGTGCAGAAAGCAAAGAGGGGAAAACATTGCACTACTTTCACGACAGAATTTTCTCTTTATTCATAAACATTAATAGTAGAAAGAATTGTGTGATCCGACTAGCAATCAGGACATTCCTGATTTCGGACTGAGAGGTGAAATAAGCCACTAAACATTTGGTAACGGGAAACGAGGCTTCGTGCAAAATTGACTGATGCTATACAATAAAAATCAAAATAATTTTCTACAACCGTCATTGAAATAGAAATTGAAAAGTTCAAGTACTTCCACACTCCGGCAAGTTACGCATAATAAACTTAGAAATGGAAAAATATAACATCGCTAAATTTAGTCTTGCAAATACTCATTAGAGAAGCAAAAGCCATTTTCAGAAGGATCACTGATAGGTGTACCAATTATTTTTTAGAACATAATAATGAAAGCAAAAAATATTCCCACCATGCAATCAAATCTAAATAATTTCATTATAGGATATAACATCGTGAGTGAAAGAATAATATATCTGAGACTTCTAAGTATTTTCACCATCATCGACATTATACAATTATATTCTGCAATAACTGAGATAGATTAGCAAAGTTTAAAATAATACTCTGAAGAAAAAAGTTTATCTATAATCATATTTATTTATATAAAATAATATATAAAATATATATAAAATTTATATATGAAATTTGATCATTCATGATAATATGATTACATATGCAATAATATATAATTATATTGGGAGTATGAATAAGTTCTCGCCGTTTTTTGTAAAAATAAATCCTTTATTAAAAAAAAAAAATAATAAAAAAATAAGTCAATTAAAGTATTGCCCATCGCTGGAGACTACTTTTTCCCATCTTTCTGGCAGCATTAGAATTCCACGTCGAAAAAACGACACTTCTTTTGCGGCTATCCACGAATAGATCCATTTTTTCGTTTCTTAATGCGAAATGAAATGCTGCTCAGCCAGGCCGTTAGTTATCGATCGAAATAAATAGTAATCAGAAGGCGCAATGTCTGGAGAGTACGGCGGGTGGGGTAGGACTTCCCATTTCAGCGTTTCCAGGTATGTTTTGACCGGTGACGCGACATGCGGCCGAGCGTTATCATGCAGCAAAATCACCTTATCATGTCTTTGCTCATATTGCGGCCGTTTTTCTTTCAATGTTCGGCTCAAACACATCAATTGTCGTCAATAAAGATCTCCTGTGATGGTTTGGTTGGGTTGGAGCAGCTCGTAATACACTACCTCCAGCTGATCCCACTAAATGCACAGCATGAGCTTGGAACCGTGGATATTCCGCTTTGGCGTTGATTCTACTGCTTCGCCGGGCTTAACCCACGATTTTTTACGCTTGGGATTACTGCAGTATATCCACTTTTCATCACCTGTTGAAACAGCTGTTCACACGTGACAAGACGCCGTTCGACGTCTCTCGGCTTCAGTTCGTACGGCACCCAAAATCTTTCCTTTTGTATCATTCCTAATGCTGTCAGACGTTTCGAAACTGTAGTTCGATCAACTCCTAATGATTTTGCAACATCGGATTGCGTCTGACATGGATCTTCAGCAAGTAATGTTTTCAATTCTTCGTCTTGAAACTTTTTTGGTGCACCAATGCATTCTCTATCTTGAACATCAAAATCACCATTTTTAAATCGGTTAAACCAATCTCTGCATGTTCTTTCCGACAGAGCATGATCACCATAGGTTTCTACAAGATTTCTGTGTACTTCAGCTGCAGATTTCTTCTGAATAAAATAGTGCAGTAAAATTCCCCGCAAGAACGGTTTATTTAGCACGAAATTTGACATGTTTTACGTTACAAAAAGAAAATGTTCTTTATAGGTTAATGGAAAGACACGCACTGATTTTAAACATAGGTTATAGAACTTCAATATAGATGCGTCATCATCTTGAACTATACACAGAAAATTTTTATATCGCCATCTGATGGTGAAACGGCGAGAACTTATTCACACTCCCAATATATGACAAGTATAACTTCAAATATAATTTTACGGTGTCC